ATATTTCTTCGAAACATATTTCACAATTTTTAAAAAAATATATAATTGATATGTTTTGAAACTAAATAAATAACGATAAAAACCAAATTGAAGAGAATTTAATTGTTTCAAAGAATAATTGACTTAATATAGCTTAATTAGTAGATTGTATCACTACAAGGTTTCAAAATTAAAAAATTAGATCATAAAATGATAATTAATTACCTAAAAAACTTTTTTACTTTCATAATTCCTAACTCCTTCGTTAGTGCCAACAAAGCTAAAAAAAAATGAAATTAAAGTGTTAATACCAGCATTTAAATCTTTTAATTGCAATTTTGAAAGCTAAGGAACTAAGTGAACTTGTAGATGTCTCATACTAAGAGAAGAACATGAAAAGAATGTATAATACACTTAATTTATAAGCTTTAAAAAATCCAAGTTGTCTAATAAAATCAAAATTAAAAAGTTACCAACATTTCATAACCATAAATACCCATTTCAAAAACATATAAATGTAAATTTTGAATATTTTTGCTGGATCTAGGAATCTAGCATAAAATTCCCAAGTCTAAAAAGGTTAAAGCTTTCCAGAAAGATCAATGCTTCCTTATTTTGAAAAACTCCAGAAATATTTTTGCTCAGAATTTCAAGATATAGTAGCTGTTAGGATATCTTAAAAGATTTTGAGCATAATGAAACTTTAAAAAAAAATTATGTTATTTATGCCCATACAAATTTTATACCAACTATAATGCACAGAAGAATTAGTAGCTTTTGAAATGAGCTTTGGTTCCTTTTTGATTTGAGGCACTATACATAGTATCTGTTTCAGTAGTAGAAAAAATAAAACTAGAAATGTTTTTCCAAGGAAAAAAAAAACTATTTTGCAAAAATTTAATGAATATTTTCAAGCAAGGAAGTATTGACTGTAATATAATCAAAACAAAAATAATAAAATTCATAATACAAAACGACAATCAACCTTCAACCACTCACATAAGTACAATGAAGTTAAGATATTTTTATTAAGCCTTTGGAAGCACTTTGGGTTTATAATTTTGTTTTCCTGAAAAAAAGGGGAACAAAGTAACCATCAAAATAAAGTTTCACCTCTAAAAGCATGCTTCAGAGATTTTAGCAACTGCCTTTGCTGTAAGGTAAAAATAAAAAAAATAATAAAAAAATGAAAGATGTAAAATTTTTGTGCAGTGCTCTCCACCTCCTATTATTCACAGAGAATAAATTAAGCATCAGACTTCTAGATGCAGGGGTAGAAGTGACCAATGAGAAAAAAATAGGATTGTTTTGAAAAAAAATATAGGATTTTCTGGAATAAAAAATAGGGCAAAAAAGATCTAAATTAAATTGAAAAGTATGGATCATATATGAATAACTTTAAAACTTAATTATTTAACACTAAAAAAATTCGATAAAAAAATTATATAAACAATTTTCCGCAGCTGAATGGAATCGTACATACCTTATTATTGCTTTAAAAATTAAAAACCACATAAAAAAATTGACTTTATCAAACTAATGACTTTTTCAATAATTAACATTTTATTTACTCCTCTTTATTACATTAAATTATTTCAAAAATTATGCAGCATTGTTTTTATATTCATTTATCATTCTGCAAAGTCTTTAACTTTTTGTTGCCAGCATCAATAAGTGCTTGTCCAGCCTCAATATCAGCCATAGATTTCCGTTTGAGTCCTTGTTTTAGCCTCTGGTTTCCTTCTTCAATCATAGCCTGAGCTGAATAAACATTTTCCTTAAAACCTTTCAATTTCTCCTCAGTTGATTTTTTTACAGAAGTACTGGGCCTAGGCTCTAAACTTTTTTCCTTGAGGTTTTTGAGCTTTTCCTTTTCTTTTTCTGCCTTATATTTGCTGTGGGCTTCTTTGTAGAACTGGATCATCTCTTTTGTTATTTCCACACAAGAAGCATTTTTTCTAACTGAATCTTTTATAAGTCTTAAGCCTACTAGCGTGTTTAAATTCATTCTTGACCTTTCATTTGTCATAATTCGTTTGCTAATTGAAAAGCCACGTTCCACAGAGGCTTGCCCATGAGAAACAGAGAGGACTGACTTCACAAGTTTAGTTAAAAAGGGATATTTTAAATTACCATTACCATCTTTAAGAACAAACACATTGTTCCAGTACTTGTCAATGGGAATGTTTTCAGTTTCCTCGGGAACATCTTCATTTGCATACAAATGCCACTCGTCAGT